TCAACCGAGATATTTTACTCCGGTTGACTAAGTTGATGATTTATTCAACTTTTGTGAAACTTCAACCGAGATGCTTTACTCCGGTTGATTGAGTTGATGATTTTCTCAACTTTATGATTCAAACCGAGATGTCTTTTCTGGTTAAATAAAGTTAAACAAGATGGTTTGTTTTGCCGAAGTATTTTGTCTGGCTGAAGTTATTTAGCTTGAAGACCGTGAAAACACTTGATGAAAATTGAACTTTTTCATTGATGTGCAAAATAATTACAAGAGGAGGGGCAGATAGCCCGGTTACATGTTCAAACAAAAAGAAAGAAGACAAAGAAAACTAAGCTAGGGGGGAAAGGTCTGTGAATTCATCCCCGGTTGCGGCCTCCAAGTCGACTGTGGTTGTGGTCACCTGGGCGTCGGTCTTCTCCTGGCCGGCCTGATTTGGGCGGTTGTTACCCTCCACATTCTCCTCGGCGTCTTCAGCTTCTTCTTCCTCGACCTTAGCCTGCAACGCGCTGAAGGTGTCGTTGGCATAGCGCACAAGATAGGTCGGTAGGAAGGCAGCTGGAGGAGAGACAAACACGTCGGTATCAGGTCCTTGGCCGAGCTGTTCATAAGCAGCCTTCTAGCCCGCCTTGAAGAAGATGTCTTGGGTGGTGTGGACCTGCTTAGTGTAGTTCTCCTCGGCCTCCTTGAAGCCGGCATTGTTTGCATCCTCCAGTTCCTCCTTTTTTGATTGCTTTAACCTCTCCAGCTTGGTCTTGAGCGCATCCATCTCTTGCTCGGCAACACTAAGCTGGCTGAGTAACTTTGAATTTTAAGAATTCGCCATCTACAGTGATGCTTTGGACCGACCGAGCTCGACTTGAAGGTGTTCCACCAGGTTGGCAGAGTCAATGGCCTTCTGCCGGAGCCGGTGAATGCGCTCCATGACCAAGTGTTATTTCTGGATAGCCTGCAAGAAGAAGGTTTGATTAGAGATAAAATCGAGCAAACACTTGGAATTTTTTTTGACAAAATGTGCAAAGTTCTTACCCTGGTCATAGACTTGACCGAGGATTTCACTAGCCGGGTGTCCGGCACATGGTCGCTGCCGACCACGTCGCTCGATAGCAGCAAGGCTTTGGTGAAGTCAAAGGTGAGCAGATGCTCCTTGTCGCCTTTGACAGAAGCTGTCGCTGGGATCTCTTTACCCCGGTGCTTGAGTTGGGGCCTCCATAGCGGAGTAGGGTCATCTATCACGGCAGGTTGCTGGGTGTTAAGCTCCGCAACTAGCTCGGCGGAAGGGTCTGCACGTGGCCTTTTGCCAGCCCGACGGTTGTCTTTGTTGGCTTGCCCGGCGGCGGGAGACACCAGTGCAACCACGGTCCCGCTGGATTGCCTGGCAGCAGACGAGCAGGTTGGGATGCTCGGTATCTCGGTAGAGGTGGCAGTGATGAGGTTCTTGATGCGGCTTCTTTTGGCCATCTCTTCTGCCTCAGTCAGTCAGATGAATGGCATGTCCGGTAATGTGGGATCGGGAGGTGGAGATGGAGCACGAAGAAAGTCTGTGACTTTACTCCGACGTGGAGCTGAATATCTGTATGTCGGTTTGTAACCGAGGAGCTCGTGGCAATCCCGGTAGCGGTAGTAGAGCACGGTTCTGATGGCTGCTTTGTTGGGATAATGATAGTGGGCTTGCGGGGCTTCGATTGCTGCAAAGGAAAGCAGAAAAAATGTCAAGTACAGAATAGTGAAGAAAGATAATTGATCGAGCAGTTAGCACGGCTTGCATGTCTCGCCGAAATTCTTGCTGATAAACCAGCCCGGTACGTCGGCTGTTTCGTAGTTACCAGACACCCAGAAAAAGTCATCGTCGTGCAAGTCCTTGTCTGGGGTGCCGGTCACTATCTTCTCCTTGCCCGGTCCGATTTTTAAATAGTAGGCAAGGCCATCGCCTGTATGCCCGAGGGTATACTAGCGCAGTATCTCGGCTAGTCCTAGGTTGGTTCCTAGCCGGTTATTCAGTTTGTGGATCCCGTTGATTATTCTGTAAGTGTTAGTTGAGACCTGGGTTGGAGCTAGCCCGGTGCGCCGCAAGAATTCGCAGATCAGCGGGTTAACCGGGAAGAGGAGGCCCCCTTCTATAATAGACAGCACGGTGAAGGGACACTGGTCTAATATGCCCCATAGGGTTGTGTCCTCAACGCCGAGCTCTAAATGAACGTCATCCGGGATACCGTACTCTTCCCAGAACGCGGCCAGGGCAACCGGAGTGTCGACAAGGAAGCGGTAGCGCCCCATGTGTAGTCGGCTGGTTTAGCTCGGCTGAGGTGGTTTGGCACAGACTGGTGTTTGATGGTTGCTCGGTCTTTGAGAGCCTCGATATTGGTCAGTGGTCCCCTTAGACTCTGTAGGAAAATGAGGGTAATTATAAGTGGAAGCACGGTCGCGCAAAATGAGCTTGACTTTAGCTCGATCAGGAAAAGTGCCAAACCACCTCGGTCGCGAAGGCAAACCAAGGAGCTCGGTCGCTCAAGCAGACCAGATGTCAGCCCGGTCGAGCGGCCAAGTCCTCTGCCTACCTCGGTTTCTACTAAGGTTTTGGAAAACTTGTAATTTGCTCGGTCTTAACGTTTTTTAGGATCAAAAGAAGACCTGGAGCCCGGTCTGCCCCAGATCTTCAGGTGTTCATCAATGAAGCTGAAGAACAGCAAGGAGAACAAGGGGCAGGGGAGAGTTTTGGGGAGCTGTACCCTAAAATCTATGGTTTTAGTGCCCTAAAAAAAGAAATATAAAATGAAACAGCCACAAAAAAATTTGAAGAGCTTACCAGTAGAGCCGAATGCAGATCTTTCAGGCACGAACGCAGAAAGAGGGCAAGAGTGGGAGCTGCTGAGGGCACTAGAGCTCTGGATTGACAAGAATGAAGGAGAGTCAGTAAGAACGAAAAGTGAAGCGGAAGAGACATATAAATAGAAGTGAGAGACTGCCAAAAATTTTGAATGAGAAGGGACGTGATGGTTGGCTGCTCGAGGCTAACAAACGAGCAACGTGTGTCCCAATTAATGGCGGCGTCAGAGTTAAAGAGGCAGGAAGGCGAGATGAGACGTCGGCCCAGCAAATCGAGGAACCGAGCACTGGAATTAGTGCGGTTGACGTCTTTCAAACAACAGATCGAGGAAGGGTCTACCCCGGTCGGATCATGTAATCCCGGTCACGCTTTTGCAGACGGAATTAAGGGGTAATTGAGAGGGAGATTTTCTGAGCTGGAAATGGGCCATGGTAAGGGCCGGGCAAGTTAAAGGCCGAGCGCGTTTGGGCCAGGATAGCTTTGGGCTTACACGAAGATGGGGCTGCTCGGCTAAAGCCCAAGACCGAGCTACTTGAACTTGCACAGGTGGGAACCATGCTACTTGCGTTGCTCGGCAGGAAGGCTCGCGCCTTTAGCTCGGCAGGAAGGCCTTTGTTTTACCCGCGTGACCTATTTCGAGCTCGGCTCTACCAGAATGCAACTGAGCTCGGTCGGTATGGAGCTCGGCTAGTGAGCATTCGGGCATACGGCGCAGCACGGCCGTGTGAGGTCGAGGTGATTCCGCCGGTCTACCAGGCTCCGCCAAGATATCCTGACAGTTTGGTTAGGTGGTGATTGCTGGATTTGTGCTGACAGATGGGATAGCAGCACCACGTGTCGAGAGACTAATGGGAGTAGATTTGGGGCGCAGAAGGTATATAAGCGTGTCTGCGCCCCCATGCTGAGACAGACGATCATTTGGTAAGATACACTTAGACATTCAACTCTCTCTCTCTCTCTCTCTCTCTCTCTCTCTCTATCCCTGAGTGTGTGCTAACTTGACCGTCGGAGGGATTTTTCGGCCACACACCGCCGGGTAGCTCACCGCCGTTGTGTTCGTAGGTCGATCGGACAGACAGGGAGCTTGGAAGAAAGGAGTACGGGCTCGCCGAAATATTTACTCCCCGTACAAATACATAATTAAATATTAGAGGGCAAAAATGTAACCTCATTGTCTAATCCCATGGGATGAGTTATCCCATGGTTTCTATCCCACCCCCCATGGAGCAAAAATTTTCAAACAAACAATAGACTATTAGTCCAGTGGAACTAATAGTCCAATCACATACCCTAATCCTTCAAAACAAACACACCCTAAGGTCATGTTTGATTCACAAAACTAATAGTGAAGTATTAATAATCCTATTAAATTAGTGTGGTATTCACTATCCAATTTGATTAATATCCATTGGATTAATAATCCCACCCATACCCCATTACTAATAATCCTACAATTTTCTTGGATTAATTATCCATTGGATTAATAATCCTAAACCAAAATATTAAAACAAACATAGGATAATTGAGCCCACGGATGAATAATCTCAATCTCATGTTCTAATCTGTCCAATCAAATATGTAAATTTACATTTTAAAAATGTAAAAAGAATCATTATAATATCGCCGGAGTGTCATCAGAGCACCGCCGAAAATCTCTTAAGAGAGAGGAGCTCTCTGAAACTCACTCTTAGAGAGCTCAGTTGAAGTCACTGACTTCTATTTGTCACCCCTAACCCTTGCAAAACTGCACTGATATATCTAGATGAAATCTATATTACGAGCTTCGTACGGATTCACGATTTTTCCTTCTTCACTTTTCCATAAGCTAGAATTTAAAATCGATGCTAACTATAAAAAATAAAAATAAAACAAAAAAAACTAATTTTTTTTGTTATGTGTTTTTCAAATTTTTAATTTTATACTTTGACCCCCATGTTTCATAAGTATAGAGAGAGCGTCTAATTAATTTTATTTATTTTTTAATCTATGGAGGAAATTTTAATTTTCTTTTTTGAAGAGGGCGAACTTGTATAATTTGAAAACAGTTAACAGAAAATATTATTATAAAAAAAAAAAAAATTTAAATCATAAGGGTAGACTCGGCCCCTCTTGCTTCACTCTAGGTCCATCCTTACTCTAAGCTACCACCATTGTCTTGGAATGTTGAGATAGAGTGATAAGAATGCCTTTTGTTTCTATTTTCATCTGTTTCAACCAACACAAAGGAAGAACACAATATCGAAAATGCTATAGTCAAATTTATGGTACCACCAAATATACACAACCTGCTTTCTAAAAGACCTACAACAAACTAAGAAGGAATAAAAGAAACATACCAAAAAAAAAACACCAAACTTAAGAATGTAATAATTTATATTTAACGAAGAATGGCCCATTAATAATCTACTCCTTTTTTTCCTCTTTTTGCTGACCCCTTTCACCTATGAACTTGTGCATATTCAGCATTGCTTAATTTCGAATCCAATGCTCAGAAGAGTTCGAGCTGATTCCATTGCCTTGTCCTCTCCAGCATCCAATGTCTCCTCACCTTTTAAGTCACCTTGTGTGTCTACTGACCATTGGGTTGTTGCAGATGTCTGGTTCTGGTTCTGGTTCTGGACTGGTTCGGTTTTCTTGGATTGCAAATTGTTCATGGAAGCAGGAGCAGCGGCGGCAACAAGAGGAGCACTTGGCGGACCGTGCCGCTTCTTGGGTACTGGCATATCATGATCATGTACTCCCTTGTATGTTATTGTCACAGCATTTGTGCTTTCAACAGCCCTCTCAATGTGCTTCCGGACTGGACATCCAGCTGAGGTACATCTGTAGTAGTTCCTGAAAAAAATTTATACAACAGATTTCAGTACCTACACACACACACAGCAGCAGCTGTAAATGAATTAAAACAATTCCAAAACGGCTCGACAATATACTTTGGGCAGCTATCTTCCTTATCTCAACAACAGCATTTTGATGAAATTGAAATTTCAGCAGGTAACATATACTAAGCAGCAACTGACAATGGAAACTGTTTTATGAGCAAAGGCTATATATATACAGTATATACAGTTTCAGCCCAACAAACTTGTTCTCTAGTGGTAACCAGCTCACAAAGAAACCAGTTCTTTTTTGGCTAGCAGTGGTTAGATGTTAGTAGTCGAAAGTAGGGGTGGGCGCAGATCAGTTGCGGCCACAGAACTTCCAATCCGCCATCTGTCCGCCAGATTGGCGGATTGGAGAAAATCAATCCGCATCTGTCCGCCAATCCGGCGGATGCGGATTGAGCGGATTGGCGGATGGATACAAATCGATTTGGCGGTTTAAAAGTTTACAAATTTTCAACATAATTCAGTTGTGCGCTTCCTCAAAAAAACAACCTAGGCATAATTCAATTGTGCACTTCCTAGAAAAACCACCTGGGCATAATTCAATTCACATCTATGTGCATCCAATGGTTCAATAAACCTACATAACCTGGGCAATACAAGTGAACAACCTGGGCAACGCAACTCATGCAATGCAATATTCACATCTATGTTCCAGTGGGCAATGCAAAAACAACCTAGGCACGACCATATCGGTTCCTAAATCAATTTATAAACAGTTCCTAAATCAATTTATATAAACAAAAATTTTGTATGAAAGCACTGTAATACTATTAAATCAATTCCTAAATCATTCATTTCCGAAGCAGTTCCTAAATCAGTTTATAAACAATTCCTAAACCAAATTGCTGAAATCAATGTACAAACACCAAATTGCTCAACATTAGCATATCAGTTCCAAAATTCATTTATAGAACAAAGTGTACCCAAAGAATACAAAAAAGAAAAGGGCATATACTGCTTCAGAAAAAGAGAGAACCTAATATTTCTCGTGGCCTCTTCCAAGCCCAAAATCCTCTTCAATACAAGAACAAGTTGAATTGGAACAAGGGGCTTTTTTTTTTCTTCTCAATAAAACTAAAATTGAACACAATATATACAACAAATGAAATTGAACCCAGAATTCAAATTACGAGAAATGACAATGGTAGTAGTGTAAACCATGGAAGAGAAGAGACGAAGAAATGTTGAAAAGAGGTAGAAAACAACACATACAGAGAGTGTGGAGTGACATACCAGAGAACCGGAGAAGAGAATAAGAGGAAAGAAGAAGAGAAAAACAGAAGAGAAGAGAAGAAGAGGAAAGAAGAAAAGCAAAACAGAACAGGAGAAGAGAAGAAGAGAAAAAGAGAATACCTCAATCCGTTCAGTGTAGATCGATAGCCGATCGCCATTCAGTGTAGTAGATCGTCGGTCGGACGTTTAGTGTAGACCGTCGAACGAGGACGATGGGTAGGGTTTTGGGGGTAGAGAGAGAGTGAGAGTGAAGAGAGAGACAAGAGAATGTGTCTGTGTCTGAAATGAGAATTAGGTTTAGGGTAAACTAAACTCAGAAAGAAAAGTAAAGGACTAGCTGAGGTGCAAAAAAAAAAAATGGGAGTCATGGTCGGGTCAGGTTTTGTGGGTATAATGGCGGATCACCCGCAACCCGATCCGAACCAGAGAAATCATGAATTCTGGACCCACATCCGCCCGCCACATGTCACGCATCCACCCACTAGGGGTCGGGTCGGGTGGATTTGGTGGGTCGGTGAATCCGCTGCACAGCCCTAGGCAAAAGCAATCTTCGAGCCTCTACGAACCTTTCATAAGCCTTGTTTGGTGCAGCTTATCGGGTTGTTTATGTGTATGTGTGTGTGTGTGTGTGTGTGTGGTGCCAAAGAAATTGATGTAGTTTTTGTTTACACGTGTAAGACAAAAATAGCTTAAATAAGCTTAAAAAATGGAGAGGTTGAGGGAGAGATTCTTTTAACTTCTACTTTCTGAGTATCAATTTTCATCTTTAACAGAAGTGCACAAACAGGGCAGTGCAGCAAACAGAGCCATAACCCTTGGCTGTCACATTTCCCATGTTATAACAGTGATGTTGGGTGTTCCTTTTTCAAAATTGATGAAGTGTAGGATTGAATAAAGAATATATAATCCACTAAAACTCCTTACGAACTATTTTGTAAAATGCTGGAGGGAGTAGTAAACAAATGCTCTAAAGAGGGTCTGTTTTTAACTTAGAATGGGAACTAAATGATCTCGTGTAGGTGAGGTGGTAGTGGTGTAGTGGGTTAGGTTTAGTGGAGTAGGTTTAAGTGGGTGAAGTAGGTGGAGAGTAGGTGGATTTTAACACGAAGAAATGTTAAAAAGAGGTAGAAAACAACACATACAGAGAGTGTGGAGTGACATACCAGAGAACCGGAGAAGAGAATAAGAGGAAAGAAGAAGAGAAAAACAGAAGAGGAGAAGAGAAGAAGAGGAAAGAAGAAAAGCAAAACAGAACAGGAGAAGAGAAGAGGAGAAAAAGAGAATACCTCAATCCGTTTAGTGTAGATCGATAGCCGATCGCCATTCAGTGTAGTAGATCGTCGGTCGGACGTTTAGTGTAGACCGTCAGACGAGGACGATGGGTAGGGTTTTGGGGGTAGAGAGAGACGAGAGAATGTGTCTGTGTCTGAAATAAGAATTAGGTTTAGGGTAAACTAAACTCAGAAAGAAAAGAAAAGGGCTAGCTGAGGTGCAAAAAAAAAAATGGGAGTCATGGTCGGGTCAGGTTTTGTGGGTATAATGGCGGATCACCCGCAACCCGATCCGAACCAGAGAAATCATGAATTCTGGACCCACATCCGCCCGCCACATGTCACGCATCCACCCACTAGGGGTCGGGTCGGGCGGATTTGGTGGGTCGGTGAATCCGCTGCACAGCCCTGGGCAAAAGCAATCTTCGAGCCTCTACGAACCTTTCATAAGCCTTGTTTGGTGCAGCTGATCGGGTTGTTTATGTGTATGTGTGTGTGTGTGTGTGTGGTGCCAAAGAAATTGATGTAGTTTTTGTTTACACATGTAAGACAAAAATAGCTTAAATAAGCTTAAAAAATGGAGAGGTTGAGGGAGAGATTCTTTTAACTTCTACTTTCTGAGTATCAATTTTCATCTTTAACAGAAGTGCACAAACAGGGCAGTGCAGCAAACAGAGCCATAACCCTTGGCTGTCACATTTCCCATGTTATAACAGTGATGTTGGGTGTTCCTTTTTCAAAATTGATGAAGTGTAGGATTGAAAAAAGAATATATAATCCACTAAAACTCCTTTCGAACTGCTTTGTAAAATGCTGGAGGGAGTAGTAAACAAATGCTCTAAAGAGGGTCTGTTTTTAACTTAGAATGGGAACTAAATGATCTCGTGTCATTTCCATTTTGCATGTCCAATATGTCACAAAATTGCATTTGAGAGGACATTCTACCAATCACCTACACCAAATGTTTGGCTCCTAAACTCGTCACATGGGTGGCAAAGGAAGGGCATTGGGCCAATCACCATGCAACAAGTGGCATCATTCAAATGTTAAGTGCTCATTTAATGGCAACAGAACCAGACTGGCTTTTAAATGGATAGCTCAAAACTTCATTCAAATAGAACTTAGATAAGCATCAAATTTTGGATCCATTCTGTTGGCAAATGAGATGGATGTGTCAATGAATGTAGGGCTGATCTAAGCTTGGTACTGATGTATGATTCTGTTAAGGGATACTTACCTATAGGTCCTAATAAGTGGACTTATTATCTAATAGGTCCTATAAGAAAAATTTGTCATAAAAAAAGTCACTAATTGTAAGTTTTAGCGACAATTTATAAAAATCATGACAAAAAAAAGTCACTAATTGTCAATTTTTAGCGACATATATAAAAAATTGTCACACAAAAATTATTTTTAGCGATAATTTTACCAAGGCTTATTTTCAATAGGACTTGATGAGAATTAAGTCTAACTATTAGGACCTATTGGTAGGTTACCCTTCTGTTAATTGGATATTTTTAGCGAATGCGGTGCAAAGTTGAAATCATTTCATATTTGGTGATGGAGAGGTTTGAGAGGACATTGGTTAGTTGGAAGAGGCAATATTTGTCCAAAAGGAAATCCAAATTTTGAGCAATACTCGGGCGTTTCAATATATTTATACCTACTATTACCATTCCATTATTGGTGGTGGCAAAAGGTTAAAGAAGCTTCAGGGGCTCAAGTGAAGAACTTAGATGCCACCTGTTGGATATGGATGTGCTACGTAATCTGGTATGGAGTAAATTAGAATAAAGGAATTAAGCATGTCCAACCAAGTGCTCTTTGGTAAGTGGGAGTAGACCACCTTAATACCAATCTGGTTGTAACCAGTAAGGAGCAACTTTCACATAAAGCATGTCCAACCAAGTCTTGGGGCAACAACTTTGTGCACTATGTCAAAGGTTAGGTGTGTACCTAATCTTTTCCCTCCCAAACACACATTAATGTGTACTATTTGGGCGTTGTTTTTTTTAACTAAACATTTGTTCCTATAACACTCTTACAATTCGAAGCAACTTCGTTCAACATGTTGGACTTCTACACTATTATCTAGTCTTCTACTCTTCTCTGTAAAATACTGTTAAAGCATACAACTCAACCAATTGGCAATGAGTGGAGGCATTACATTATATTAACCAAGCTTAGGTGGCTTAGATTGTCGATGTGGGATTAAGTCTAACACTCACCCTCACGTGTAGCCCGGTAGCACATGGAGGTGATTGAAAGGTCTGATTGAAAGATGGATTGGATGAGAGAAAGACTCGGATGGAGACTTGTACTACAAGAGGTGAGAGGCCACCCAAGACCCAGCTCTAATACCATGTTAAAGCATCCAACTCAAAACCAATTGGCAATAAGTGGAGAGGCCATTACATTATATTAACCAAGCTTGGGTGGCTTAGATTGTCAATGTGAGATTAAGTCTAACAAATAACTACACCATAATTGGAATTAAGGTAGTTTTTATTTTCCACAGTATTTGCAAATGAAGCTGAAGTACACACTACATAATAACCTTTTGTGTATAGGCTATAGGGTCTAGTGTGCTGTCTTTTTTCTTTGTTGAGAGGGGGTAACAGGTAGCTCTCCCTACTAATTACTACATCTTATATGAATAATGGATGTATACAGGTTACTCTTTATGACAACCACAGATGCAGACAGATGGACATAGCTGGGCTGCTTCTTACATGCCCTAAACATTTGAGCCTATCTTTCAAATTTGCTACAGAACTTGCTTTCTTTGTGTTTGCATAGCAGAATCTATCAGAGGGTGGGAGTATCTACCATGGTACCTTTAGCACTCGGTGGCTAAAAATTATGGACACTGAGGTGTGTCTACAGATACTGACAATTATCTCAAACAACTTGGATACATCATACATGTCCACATGTGTCCATTTCAATGTGGCTTTCACAACTTCATAGATTTGGTCAACATTTATTGGACACTCCAAAATGTACCTCAACTTAAAGTATGGGCCTTCATTTTGGCTTCAGTAAAAGCTTTTATACATTTGAAAGAAAAATTACTGAGATAAAAATAAAGGTTATTATAAAAGGACTAAGAATCACAAATATGAACACGAGCATGGACACTCTGAGATTCAGAGCTTTCACATCGATACCACACTCTAAATTGGAGTTCTATTATAAAACTTAAATCGAGAAAAATAAGCATTCATGGTCAAACACCAACTCATATCCAACCAAGTTGATATTCAGCGTGCTTGACAAGCATGAAAAAGGTATCTAATCCAACTGAAAGTTTGGCGAAATATCAATTCTATGAAAGGGGTGTACATATAGTCATTCATACACTACATTTAAGTTCACCATGACTACAGTTTCAACTAGAAGTGTTTAATAAATTTAGTTCAACCTACGACTAGCTGTTTCTCAATAAAGGAATTGCATGACTGGAGTGGCTGCCATAAGTATAGAATATCATCATTAAGCAACTAACAGGACAAGGCATTTTTAGCCTGAGCAAGGTATGATATAGAACGATGACTGCAAGATCCTGTAATTTATGCTCAACCTACACACTAACACAGATCAGATACAGAATTGGAAGGTTAAATTGAAAAATAGGCATTCACCTGGGGTGAGGATTTCCCTTCACCATTTTTTGTCCATACTTGCGCCACCTGTAGCCATCTCCCGAAATTCCCACATCACCAGCCGCATGCACAACAAATTTAGGTTTCTTGCCAGGTTTTAATAGAGAATCTGAATAAGCTGAGTTGCTTTTCTTCACTCTGGTTACAAAGACAAGGTAAATGAAATTCAAAATATCTACTTAACGCTGCATCTGCCAATTAAGAAAAGAAAGATACTAATAAGCAACAAAATTTGAGAACCAAAAGCAACACAGCTTGCCTTCGTTTTGGTTCTGGCTCATCAACATGCTCCTCCTTAATGTCAATTTCAGCAGTCCCATCAGAATCACTAGAATTCTGTTTTTTGGCTTCAGGTAGCGCTTGTGTTTCCTGTATCAGTTCTCTTGAAGAAGTGGATGGATCTGAATCATTAAGCTTTCTCACTGGGTGAGCTGTAGTATTAGGTTCAGAAGATAACACAGGCCTACTTTCCCTTGTGCAATTTATTCTTCGAGGCGGATCATGATTGTGCTGACCTTTAGAAATGATCTCAATGACAAGGTTAGAGTGATCGCAACATTCAATCTTTTTAGCATAACAGTCAGAATATGTGCATTTGTAGTAACTTCGGGAACCTTGAGGACTTTTCACCTGCTTCTGACCATACTTTCGCCAATTGAACCCATCAATAGAAGGTGTCCTCGCAACACGTACAGCAGATAAAGTTTTACGGTCGGAAGAATTCTGTGGTTCCATTTCTGCCATACATGCACTACTAGCATTCGTTACCGGTGACAGCTTTTGATCTATGAGTGTTGGACTTGGGGCAGATGAAAGGGACTGTGTAGCAGAATTTGGTGATAATTCTGGTGAAGAAGTTGGGCAGCCATGTGACTGAAGCTGATTCTGTGACTGAACTTGAGCAGCCTGGGTTGTTACACTTACAGCTTGCTGGTGGGACACCCCAACTTGATCCTGCAGGATCAAAACCATCAAGGTAAATTTTAGACATACAATTGGAAAATCTATATGCATAAAAAACCAGATGCTAGCTTCTAAACACAACGTATATTTATATTAGAACAACATGAAATTTTGAAACCACAATCAGAAGAGAGAGAGAGAGAAAAAAAAAAAGGCCTGAATGGGGATCAAAAAAGAACTCAACCTAATATCTTCAATCTGAAGACTAATATGGTATAAACTAATAATTTTCAAACATCCTACTAAAGATATAGCAGAATCAATCCATTAACTACTGAAAAATGTAACATATAAGAACAACCACTGCCTAGAATTAGCAGGACCAAAAACAAAAGTGAAAATCAAATCACCAAGAAACTGCAACTGAAACAATGAATTTCTGTTAGAATTTACCACTCACCTACTACCTCCACTATTTTTCTCCACACCTACCACCTCCACTATCACACACTCCACTACCATCTTCTCCTCTATATATAGGAGTTGTAATATACAGAATCAATCAATCTTGTAATACATCAACATTACATCAATCAATAATACAATCATTTCTCTGTATACATTAAATTTCTACAATTTCTTTTTTAATCTCTCTTTGGAAAATTGTCAGACCACAATTTATAGAATAAATCGAGTGACCATGGTAGGCTATTTATTCGTGTAAATCCAAACTAGAAAAATAAACCACAAAATTTCTTAATTTCAGAGAATGAAGACTTCAGATTAGAAATGTGGGAAGTTTCCCCAGTAACAGACTTACAATAATTTACTCACAGCAAAATAAAAACTTCTATGCAACATGAACCAAGGTTAATAGTAATACAATGTAATATAAAAAAACTAATTTCAGAAAATCAAACACCATTGAATATTAGAGCATATTGCAAGTCTGTAAAAAAGTCGTTTCAACTCCAAATAACCAAAAAACAGATTGAAAGCAATGTTTAAGATATAGTATACTTTCTATCTTCCATTTGAAGATTTTCTAGAATGAACATACTCGAACTACTTGAAAAATGAATACAGGGGTGAACATTTTAACAATAGAAAAATACAGAGGCACTTTCATTAGAGTTGAAAAGGGCTGTGAAATATGGAATTGAAATCAAATCAAATTCAAGTGATTCTTTCATTTTAGTTTCAAGTTAACCATCCAATGTAATCATAATTGTTAGAGAAAACCTAATTTTAGTTTGTTCAATGTTACCGTCCAAAACCTACTAAGGGAACCTAACTCTAGTTTGTTCAATGTTACTGTCCCAAACCCACTAAGGGAACTTTAGCACGCTGAAAATAATAATCACATTTAACTTATTCAAATGTTCAATCCTTCAAAAAAGGTGATACTTTTATACAAATTCAAATGTTCAATCCTTCAAAAAAGGTGATACTTTTATACAATCACATGTTTGGTTTCATTTTTTATTTTCCTTTTAAATTGGAAAATGCGGAAAGAGATGAAGATTGGGTCCAAAACTTCTTAGAAGACTGAAAACCAAGCACGTAGCATAAACATCCACATACCTCACCAGCTTGGTTAGCTGGTAACTTTCTTTGGTTTTAAATCATGGCGAATGAATACTTTCGTTGGGAATTTTAGTTTTTATTAAGTTCATTTTGATTTACAGTGACTCTTAATAAATTTTGGTGTAAACTAATTTTAGTATGTTTAATTTAATTCAAATGCTTTGCTATTAATCAATTCATTTTGACCAAACTGAACAAAAATCCAAGCTTCACAGTAGGGGATAACCGCATGGCTCATTGCTCATTTGGCAATTTAACAATTTGAACGACAGCGGTCACTTGAAATCACAAGGATGAAGTTGCTAAACACTATTTCTGAGGGTCCTATTTACGAATTGATGCCTTGGTTTCTTGCCAAAACTTTTGCTTTCAATTTCTATTTTTCTCCCCCCACCCCCCTTCCCATGGTTGTTGTGGTTGCTTCCACAATAGTCAATACCTAAAGTGAATATCACATCTAGTTGTTTGTGAGCAAACATTGCATGCTATGAAGCACAAACACAGGAAACGACATGGACACGCGGACACGCAAATTTTCAAAAAATAAGGAACACAACACGTTGGGGATACGCTTAATATATACATTTTTTCTTATTTATTATATGTAAAATTAAAAAATATATTTTTTATTTATTTATTTACTTTAATATCAAATATCATTCACAAATTAATTTTTTTCTAAAAATAAAAATCATTTATTCTATGTATGTTAATGTTTAGCAAACAAGAATATCCAAAAAAAATAGAAAAAAGGAAAAGAGGGGAAAAAAGATTTTTGTTACCAAAAAAAAAAAGGTACTATAAATTCATCAGAGAGGGGAAAAAAAAAGAAACGAAAAAACGAATAGAACAGAGAGAGAGAGAGTCAAACATGCAAAGAGGAGAGAAGGGGGGGTCAAACAGACACAGAGAGAGAAAATCAACAAACACAAAGAAAGATTCCAACACACACACACACACACACACACAGAGAGAGAGATGAACAAATAAACGATGAAAGAAGAAGAAAATAAGAAGAACAAAGAACAGATTTGAAGAAACGAAGAACATATCTTGATCTAGGGCTTCAACAGGTTCTTCTTCACCATCTCTCTCTCTCTCTCTCTCCGTCCATAATGTATCTAAGAGTGTCCCAAGCGTGTCCAACTACAAAAATTTAAAAAATTAAAAAAAAAAAAAAAAAGGGAGACAAGTTAGGTAGAGTGTCCGACAGGTGTCCACCGCGTGTCCGTGTCTGACGACACGTGTCGGACACTCATACGCTACCTCCGTAGAGGTGTCCGTGCTTTATATAGATTGCATGCAAATGGTTAGAATGTGGATGTTGAGTGGTTGAATGATGTTGGCAGATAGTGCTTTATATAGATTGCATGCAAATGGTTAGAATGTGGATGTTGAGTGGTTGAATGATGTTGGCAGATATTTTGATAGATAGATAGGCTCATGAAGATACAATTGAGAAATCAAGATAAAGCCTTTTGCATTTTGTCTAGAAAAACAGAAGTGCAACCCTGTGTCATATGCAAAAATTGTAAAAGGTAAGCACTGAGGACAAACCATCTGCTTAACAAAAGTGAATATGGCTAGCTAAATTAGCCCACAACTAAGCTTTTTGGATAGAAAATAAATGGACAACAAAAAAAGCACAAGAAACTCTATTGTTTGATTAAGCTAATTCCTTCTTCTTCAATTAGACTTATGAACATTAAACAAAATTGCTTCCTTTATCGGCAAGCTTTTTGTAGCTCTTTACTGTCGAGCGTGTGCCATTCTGACCAAACACCTTAAGTTCAGGTTTCTTTCCTCCATCCTACTTCCTTTCTTTGCAAAGACAATGAATTTCACAAGAAGTGAAACTGATGAGAAGATTCTATTTAAATCATATTTCACATAAATGGACATAAATGTCATTGATTTATCATCAGCCATCACACACAGTTATCCCCATCATATTAAGAAAACCGAAAAGTTTGTCTCTCCCATGACTAGATAACTTAACACCAAGCTTTCTTGAAATAATTAACTCCAGGTTTTTTAAAAACAAAGAAAATGCACATGGAAAATATGGCATAAGGTGTTCAAAAACGATGACCTCCAAAAGGTGAAATGCAGCAAGAATGCAATGCCCGGAATTCCCAATATCTGTTACAGTAACGCTGATACAAAGGCAATTGGAAATCAAAGAGAAAATAAGAGTATCTACAGCAAAATGGGACCATGATTAATTTAGCATGTTTTTGGATCTAGGATTTGGGTAAGAACTTGTGGAGAGAGAGGAAAAAGTAAGAGAAATGTAAATAAAATATAAGCTAATTTTTTTCTCCATTTCCCTTACCTTTTCCTTTCCCTTTTCAAATCCCAACCCAAATCCATAATCCTAACATAGCTTAAGGAAGCATCAAACACGAAGGTCTGCATGAACTACAAGAAGACTAATAATTACAAAGGACCAATTTAGAAAATGAGTGTAACGTACAATGTCCAGAGGTAATTTGCAAATCTAGACCAACTTCAAACATTGTTATCCTAACTTTTACATTTAAACTTACAGACTAAAAATACTGTAATTACAGTATTTATCTTTTCCCAGAGATTCTTCTCCCACTAACTGAAATGCATCCTATTCCTGTTTCACTCTGTTACAACATGGAGAACTCTCTTTAAATGCATATGTCAGCCCTATCAGCAGTCCAATCTCCACTTTTTTCAGAATTCAGGGCAAATCCCCAAATTATTAAACCGTAATTACAATAACAAGAACCCTGTATTTCCTCAGATAAACAGAATTCCACTAAGTCCTCCTAAGCTCAGGTGTCTATAGTTAAAGGAAAAAACTAAACCAATAATGAAAATTACTACAACAACAAGAAACAAATCCCTTGAAGCAGCTCACTAGCATCAAGTGCCCAAATTAAAAAATTTCATTATCCAAATGCCTAATTGATACATACGCCACCTCAAATTCGTTTTCAAAAAATTAAATTCACAAAATTTTACTAACTCATTCAAACAACAGACTCAAAAACACGAAAACATAAATAAATAAATAACAGATGCATCAAACAGAAATGACAAACAATTTAAAATTCAGTGGACGAGTGAGAGTACACTCCTTCCTAACCTTGAATTCAGCCGAATCCAGCGGCCGTAGAAGAGCATAATCCACCGGCACCTCTGTCAGATCATCACCACAAACTTGTTAGAGAGAGAGAGAGAGAGAGAGCGAGAGAGAAAGAAGTGATCAATGATCGTACCCGAGAGTTGGTGAGAAGAAGCAACGAAATCGCAGGGGAGATCAATCTTGGAGTTGGCTAGGGTTTCCGATTGAGAACAGCGAAACTGTGCTTCGATTGGCGGTAACGAACAACTGTCGAACTCACCGAGTTGGCTCCTCCGTTCCCTACCACCAACTTCACCACCACCACAGCCACCGTCATCATCATCAACTTCATCGAATTCTACATCGACGCCGCCGTCTTCTTCTCCTCCTTCATCGTCTTCTCTTTCTCTCTCTGCTTCGAACCTCTGCTTAGTCTCGTCCATGGCCAAATCAGAGAGAGAGAGAGAGAGAGAAGGTAAAGGTTTTCGAACGGTTTTGTTCTAGGAACTTTTTGAATTTAATATAATATAAATATAATAATTTAGTTTAATATAAATTACATTCACTGCCCTAAGTTTTATACAATATTTAAAAAAAAAATTGCAGAAAATATGCAATGTATTGATGAGTTATGCTTAAAATAAAGGAAAATATTTGGTGATCACAAATTCTGTGACTCAAATGGTCCAAAAATATTAAAACAACGTCATTTTGACATTTTTAGAACTGTTTTGTACCCAAAACGATGCTGTTTTGACATTTTCGGGCCATTTGAGCTACAAAATTTGTGGCCACCATTCATTGCCCTAAAATAAATTTAGATATTGCTTTTATCAAGTTGAGATTTCGATTGGACCGTGTTGTTTAAGTTTGTGAGCTCTGTTATGAGTCATGTTTTGCTCATTCGAATCATTCATTTCCTTTGTATGTATCATTTTTAAAGTAAAATTAAGTCGATTAGATAATTGTTACAATTATCAAATTAACTTTTTTATTTTTTTTATTTTTATAAATGATATAGTATATGAAGATACCTACAAAATAAACAATTTAAATCATAAAACGGAAGAGAGAGTTACGGGCCGGTCCTATGGACCAGTCTTATTACCCAGCATGTCCTACCTAAAAAAATCAAACAGTGTTTTTCATTTTTAACCCTAGACTCAACACTGCAATCCAACACCCGGACACCATCTCCGTGAGAAACACACAGACACGGATAAATATTATCAGTAGTTACCAAACCACTTAAATTACTTATTCTTTCTCACTCTCATACTCACTTACATACACGTTTACACACTAATTCACAAAAACGTATCCATACACTTATCAATTCACAAAAACAAATTCACAATAATTTAGCTGTGATAATTTTACCCCTGATAAAGTGTTATCAGTGATAAATTTCATACTCACATACATACACACTCACTTACTAATTCACAAAAACAAATTCACAAAAATTTAACAGTGATAAATTTATCACTAATCTAAATAAATTTATTACTAGTTTAAACAAATTTATCTCTAGTTTAAACAGATTTATCGCTGGGATCTTTTTTAATATACAGAGAGAGAGAGAGAGAGAGAGAGAGAGAGAGAAGACCTGACGGCAAATACCCTACATCCTAGATCTAGAGGTAGAGGCAATGACGACTATAGAGGTGGAAGCGGCAGTAGTCAGCAACGACGGTGGAGGTGGAAGTAAATACGTCGGTGGTAGTGGAGGTAGAAGCAATGGTGAAAGTGAAAGAAGATGTCGATTGAGGTCGCCGGCAATGATGACAGTGGAGGCAGCGTTGGTCGGCAACGGTGGAGATGGCGATGGTCATTGGTGAAGAAATGTGCAGAGAGAGAGAGCTTTTTTCTTTTTTTCATTTTTCATCTCCAGATCCGAGTATAAAAACATGAGGGCAAAAACAGAAGAAACAAAAATGTTCAGGACCTATAGGTAAAAGAGTCTCCATTAAGGACTTGTTGGGTAATAACCCTTGAAAATAGGACTGACCCCTAAAAATTCCAAAACGGAATCTATGACGGACTCTACAAATCAAAACATCATGGTTCATCCAATTAAGATTCTCAATCGGAGAGAAGTCCATCTCCATTTATACGTCTCATCGAATGTTCAATAAATATATATATATATATTCTTTTTCATACGATTATGTACCAAAAACAAAAAATGACCCTGATTAGTTTTTAAAAAAGTTTGAGAATATAAAAATTCATTGTAGAACCAAATACAACCATCTCACATGAATTGAATTTCACATTTTTGTGATTAACACTTTACAATTGATTTTTGTGTTGGTAAAAAAAATATTAATTATTTTGTGTTTGGAAATATTTTGTGGCTATATTATACTTAATAATAGGGATAGGAAAATGCTTTTTTAGATGAGATAGGAAAATGTTTAAAATCTCTAAAAGAATCTTTTCTAATTTTACTTACAGCATTTAATTTATGTTATTTTCATTGAATTTAGAGATGTGTAAGTCTCAAATATCATAATCTGATAGAGATATATAACTACTTTTTTTTTTTTTAAAGAAAACATTGATGATATTTGAAGTAAAATTATATTAAGGAGAAACTATAAATAAAAAAATTTAAGGTTTATCTAGGTAGCAAATCAAATTTTAACTTTTTAATTAGTTTAATTTAAATTTTAAAATTCTAAAATTATATCAATTCTAATCATCCGTCTAACGAAAAATGGATAGTTTAGATAATTTAATGATTTTTTTCCTCCATTACTATTGACATTCACCTTGCACCCTTACCGTCATTCATCACCACCTTTCATCTTTCTCAATCCATTGTCATCTCTCTCTTCCCCGTCTACTGATACATATCTCTTCCCTAGCTCACTACTACACATCTCCTTCCTTCTATGTCCATAGCTACAATTACTGTCTAATTTTAAATTGTCTAAATTGTTTCTACTCCGTTAGTTAAGTAACGAATGGTTAATTGATACTTTTTTAAAAATTTATGGGTTCAAATTGAAGCAATTAAAAAACTAGGGTTTGATTTATTACCGGAATCAAATCCTAGATTTTTTTTTTCTTCCTAATATTAACTTTATTCTTTTAAAACAGTTAGTCTGAAAACTCAAAAAAAAAAGAAAAAGGTCTAGATATTTTCCAGAATGCATATGTAGTGGAGACTGAAAGAGTGCATTGTAGAGTTCACGCAGTGGAGATTGAAAGAGCGTATTGGAGAGTTCATGTATATAATGAATCTGGATCATATATTAAAAATTTTGGGTATAATTTACAGCTATGTAGTATCACTGTTTTTAATAAGATTAAAACTATTAGAACTAATACAAATAATGTTAAAAAATAATAATAATAAAGAAAGTGAAATATATATTTTGAGTGTAAAAGATATAACACCGTCATTTTATTATTTATACGATGATTGAATTATTAAGTAATATGAGAGTAAGTATTATATGAATAAAATATTCAAAGAGTTTAATTTAATTATACTAAATTTGTAAAACTTATATTTTCTGCTAACTTAAGGGTGGTTTGTGTGATTTATTGCCCACCTATCTAATTAATGGGTTGTTTGGGATAAACTATATAAGTACACTTTTTGACTTTTTAGATAAAAAAAGTAGAGAAAAAAAATATGGTTATTTGGGATAATTTTTTGACTTTTTAAGAAAAAATATGTATTAAAATATTGTATAAAATAACAAAATTACTGGATTATCTTTAATGTCCCTAGGCATGTACTAACCGTGATGGTTTAGGAAGCCAATTAGTAACGTTGCTTTGAAGTTGTGTGGTGGATTGGACGATACTGTTCAGCCCGTGGGGTCCCACCACGGGTCTCTTTTTTATAATCCGAACCGTTCAATATGTAGAACTCATCGAGTACTATATATTTGTAAAAAATCAAGTTGATCAGACATCGATAGCTATCTCATTGGATCAGTTTTTTGTCAACTGTTAATTTGCTCACTGTCCTTTTTTTATACAAAACTGTTTTGATCTTATAACTATCGATATCCGATCAACATGATTTTTTACAGACATATAGTACTCAACCAGTTCTACACATTGAACGGTTCAGATTATCAAAACGGGACCCATAATGGGCGGGAGCTGAACAACAATGTCTTGTGTAATTTTTTTGTGCACCGCCTGTGTAAATTTGTACTATCACTTCACAGTGTACCATCACTACAGTAGCCACAGTTGGCTTGTACTTTTTTCCTGTGTAAATTTATTGTTTTTATATATTTTTTTTTGTAAATAGTAATAACTTTTTGACTTTTTTAATAATTTTTTGACTTTTTATCTTTTATAGATTATGCCAAACAAGCACTAAGTATTGGAAGGTGGCTTTGGATTTAATTTTTCGTTTTTTTATGTTTGAACTTTGAATCTTATATTTGTTAAAAAAGAAAAACAGATGCAAACAAAATTATATATAAATATTTATTTTAGCAGAGTTGGAAATAAAAAAAGATCCTTTTGGTAAATACTTAAGTCTTTTGTTTTTTCTCATTTTCCTGAATCAACCCAAAAAAAAAAAAATTTGAAATTATTTTCTTTTATTTCTTTCATAAATGCAAGATCTAGAAATAACTTATTAGCATTAATATTCATTCATTTGACTGACATTAACATTCTCTTCTTAGATTCAGTTCAATTTGATTGAATTAAATTACTCAATCAAATGCATACTCTTTTTTGGTGTTTTATTGTGATTTTTAACTAGTAGAATACAAAGAAAATGAGAAATGACATTCACAATCTTATTTAATTTCTCACATTTCTCTAATTGGACACTAAAACTTTTTTGAATGTTTAGTTTGTAAGTCCTTTTGATTTTATTGTTTTGAGATGAATTTGTGGAGGATTGAACAATTAACATGGTAAGGTAGTAACCAATGGCTCTAATTACTGAATTTCAATGATTGCTTATAAGGCTTAAATTTAAGTAATATTTACTTAGTAATATTGAACTACTAGATATTTATTTGGGAAGTACAAATATTTAATTTAGATAACTAATTAAAATAGAAACTCATGAAAAGCAAAAGTGAGATGTAAGACTTATTTGATGTAATATTTCTCATACTTATAATTACTCTTCTATCAATAAACCAAATAATAATAATAATAATAATAATAATAATAATTGTAGGATTTTGATTTATGAACAAAATTAGGAGAAAGAAATTTTCATCAATCAAAGTCAGCTGAAGATAATTTGAAGTTTAAATGATAATTTTAAATGAAATTTATTACAATTTTTAATATTGTTGTAATTCTTTTACAAACTAACTAATAATTAAAATTTTATAGGACTCGGTCCATAAATCGAAATTTTAACCTTGTTTGGTCAAAGGTTAAAGCGCTAAAATATTTTATCCAAAAAACAAGCTTAGACAAAATAACCAAAATATCCCTAGATATATATATCACACGATACTCACAAAGACAAAGCCCTTCTCTTTTTCTTTGTTTGAACATAACCCCCTCTCTCTCTCTCTCTCTCTTCATGCTCGAAAACCTAACTCTGATCGTTGTTCACCACAAGATCTTCCGCTGTGATTTAGCTGTTCAACGACGATAGCAGTGGCAGCTACGAACAATTTGATTCCTATTTTGAGCTCCCCACCGATTTTGACCTTGACGCTCGCGATCGAGTTTCACCATAACCTCTATAAACCTCTCCATAGATAGTCAATAAAAAATCAAACAAAGAAAAAAAAAAAAAATCAATGGGTAAAACGTATTTTTTAACTTATTTTTTTTTAACCTCTATAAACTTCTCACCAGGGACGGAGATAGCATAGGGCCAGGGAGTCACGTGCCCCCCTCAGTTTTGAATTATTATTTTTTTTTTGTTATTGCCATGTATAAAACATTTTTTTTTTCTTCATATGTTATTTGGCTAAGGATTTATTATATTGTTCACAACAAGTAGTTATTTGATACTTTGGGAATATTATGTGGTATTATTTATATAGTAATTTAAATCAATAGTAAAGCAAAAAATATTATAGATTGGATATAATGAACTTATTATTTTTAAGTAGTTGACATACCACTTAGTGTGATTTATGATTTTCTATGCTTTGAGCATCACGTAAGTAACACCTTATGGTACTCTAAGACTGTTTAATAATTTTCATTCAAAACACATCGTTTATAAGCAATGTCACCTCTTTAATATTTTTTTGTCAAATAAAAATTAAATAGATTTTATAATAATTTGTACTATAAATGATGTGTTTTTATTTTTTAAAATTAGGAATTTTGATCTATAATTTTTTGTGCTAAAATTGCAAACTTACATTATCATCCCACACCGAGCTATTCTACACTATTATAGAATTTTGATTTGTTCTTATTAATAATGAATATGTAATTTTTATGTTTAAATTTATCCCATAAAATTATTATTATCTTAATGTTGTTCATGATTTTTTTTAAATAAAAAATTATAATTAATGAGTGCCCCCTCTAACCTAATTTCCTGGCTCCGACACTGCTTCTCACCAAATTATTTTACAAAGTATGGACCTCTTACCAATAAAAAAAATATCCACTGAACCTAATACTTTATACCCTCCTTAGATTGAATTTATCACCATTTTTTTTCAATTTTATATTAAAGAAAAATTCAAAAAAAATGAAGAAGAAGAAGAAGAAAAAAATGGAAATTAAATTTTTACAAATTATTTCCTATTTCTTATTTCTTCGCAAATTAAAGCTGCCTTTGAAAACATAATTAAAAACTAAATTTTGAATTTTAACCTATTTTAAGTCACATTACTTTTTTATTTTTTTATATATTTTTTTAAAAAAAATCAACATTTAACTAATTTTCCAAACAAACACAATGGTAGCGACATGAGCTATATGGACCCATGCCCACTATGTACAATCAACCATTTTCTTGAAAAAAAATTTCCAAGTCACGTTTTTTTCATTTTCCATATTCCACCACCATCAAGAATTTAAAACACTTGTGTTTTCCCTTCCATTATTGTATCGAATCACTTATCCCCATACCACTATTTTTCTTACTTTATTATTTTGTAAATCGCACAATGATAATTCAAACCGTTTATCTTGTAAATTTTGTAACAAAGACCATTTGTGTAATTGAATATCAATGAATAAATCTCATTTTGTTTTATAAAATAGACACTTTAAGTTTAAATTCATAATTGTCTTCCATTTTAAAAAATAAATATAATTTATTCATATATTAAGTAATATCCAATTAAATTTATTTTTTACACAACTCATATTTACTGCTAAACTTACAAGATAAACAGTTCAAATAATCATCATAGACTTGAGATTGGACCCACAAAATAGATTTTTAAGCTGTGTTCAGACCAAAGATTTGAGGATACATGTAGAGGGTTAAAAAATAAAAGTTAAAAAGTGAATAAAATTGAACTTCTATATTTCATTTATTTTTGTGCTTTTCTTTTCTTTTCTCTTTACAAATTTCTCAAATTCTTGATCCAAAACTGTCTTTACTAGGAGTGTAAAAATGCCCGCAGCCCGAGGTGGAACCAACCCAGGACCCTCAACCTCAGCTATCATTTTGAAACCCGACCCATCACAACCTGCGAGCCCGGCCCATTGGCCAACTCAAGACCTACTCAAAGTCCAGACCACCCAAAGCCCAATGTCACTTTTAATAAAAAAGAATAAAATTTTAGTAGAAAAAATAGAAGAAAAAAAAAATTTGTTCAGGCTCGCTCAAGGTCCAAATATTCGCTAGGCCTAAGCCTAATTTTCTGACCCGTCAACTAACCCAACTTGAATTTTGGCAAGAACCCGAGTGGCCCGACATAGGCTGGGCCAAGCCCGGGTGGGCCGAGCCCAGCCCAATTTACACCCCTAGTCTTTAGGATGTCAAAATTGACACAGGAGAGAGATTATTCCTACCATACTGTGATATCAAGTTCCACCTGTTTCGGTTGCCTATTAACAATATATTTATATATTTTCATGTTCCTATCAGTCATTCAGAATCAAAAGAGGCATAATTTGGCTGAAAGCCTCTGCTAATTTTAAACAACCTTGGCTACTTCTAAAATGGTGATGCGTACACAAAGACTTTAATCAAATGCCTAGAATGCCCTCATCTTTAATGGCGATGCGTACACAAACACTTTAATCAAATGTCTAGAATACCCTCATCTTTATGCTCAAGCCCCTCAATCAGAAAACCTAACCAGTCAGGTAGCCATCGCTACGACCCCACCATCACTGCCCAACCAACCACTACCACATCACCCCCCACAAACCTTCTCACCTCCTACCACCAGAAGCTTCCAATGCAAACCCCATGACCACCACTATCGGAATACCAAAAGAGAGAGGGGGGGTTGTTTCTGTTCGCCGTTCTAAATACCAAATCCAAATGGTTAAGCTTTGCTTGAACGTATTCCTCTAAACAAAGGGCATTTGAAGGTCCCTTGTTCAATCTCAGAGATACGAACCAGACACCATTGTTCCATCCTGGTTTGTCAAACAGGTGCCTATTGCTCATCAAGGGTTGGGAATAACCAACAGAGGAGGGAAGAAAGAAAAACGAAGGAATAGCAATTAGGATGTAAATGACATCAAAGAAACATTAATAGATTACAATATAGATATAGAGATAACTGTGTATATAAATTTCATCCTGCTGTAGTAGCAGGTCCCTCCCCGGGGAATCAAGAGGCCAGCTGCCTTCTTTCCCTTTCCCCTCTGAGAAGCCCCGGAAACAGGTTTTACTTACATATGGCTAAAAACCATAGTATTAACAGGTCACTTCACACCCACATACATATAGTCGAATAAAATAAAATTCCATGTTAGATAACATAGGAGTTGTTTTTTTTCCTACTACCACATTTAATTTTTAGGACCAATGTCCTTGAGGGCACAGATCTGCTCCTCTCCCATTGCAGACATGACAGTCACCACAAGGTCCTTCCCGTCACCAAACCCATCTTTAATCTACACAGAAAGGAAATAAAAAACAAAAGATTATTATTCTATTCTGTTTTCATGAACAGAAAAAAAAATTTAAAAAAAAAAAAAAAAACTCCAGAAGTTCAATGCAAAAGTTGATTCTATAAAATAATACCTGGGTGAGCAGAGATTCATCGGTGGGGAGCCTCAGGTCATCCTTGGTGTTTCCATTTTCAGTCAAAAGACTCACCTAAAAGAATGTAAATCCAGTTTGTTAAGATCATAGACTCTTTAACTACCATATTTAACAATGGTACTCCACGGAGATATAAGCAAGAGATTTCGAGGTCGACATGAAATCTGTTTTCGTGCACACAAATATGGTACATCACCAAAAAATTGTGAAAAACTATTTCAACCCAGATAATCAAGCATACGCAGCACAAGGAAAGTTTAGCTTTCTCAGAAACCAAAGATGAATATGATAAAATTACAAGACAGTTGTCACATCCCTTCTGATTAAAAAGATATGCAGGAAGGAAAGTATGACATGGGTCCTCCACATCAAACTAGTCTACAAATCCTTTTTTTTTTTTTTTTTCCTTTAAAAAGAATCAAATTCTATTCTCCATTTTATAGGCCACAACTTAATGGAGGGCATTACTTAATGCACAACATATTCCGTGAACCATATCACATTATTAAATCATAAAAGATAACTTACAAAACCGTCTTCGGAGATATCAATCAGCTGATAGTCAGTACGGTTAACATGGGGAACCTGAGAAAAAATATATATATAAAATATGTGACCAAAATATAAATCAATATCAATGAAGCATCAGAACTGAGGTGGAATCCCAAGGTCATGCAAGGAGCAGTGCCTATACAAAAAATGTAAAAATAGAAGCAATAAAAGAAAATAGAAAAACTAATAGCAAAAGCATGGTATTACATCACAGTTGTGGGATGAAGGGACAATATCTTCAAGCTTCTTGCCATTAAATATATCAATTGCCACAAAGTGACACTTTGCATGTCCATGTTTGCCAGTTTTTGAGGTGGAGACCTCCACAACCTGTTTGGAGAGCAGAACCAAATAAAGACATTAGAAATTGTGAAGCCGAGAAAGCTTGATTTATTCCCAAACATACAACAGATGTAGAATAAGTCAAGATATAAGGAGAAAGAAAACTATATTTTACCTTGCTTGGTTCCTACACAACAAAACAGGCTATTATAAAATGACAATGACTGGCACTCTTAAATTTTATATTTTACCTTGCTTGGTTCCTACACAACAAAACAGGCTATTATAAAATGACAATGACTGGCACTCTTAAATTTTCTGGCAAGACATTCCACAGCTTGGTTTTAAAGGAGATGCTGTATTATAAAGAAATGCAGCTGGAAGAGAAAAAAAAAAAAAAAAGAAGAAGAAGGAAAATCCCTACTCAAATCCATGATCGAAAGGAAAAAGTTTGAGAAAGTGGATAGGCAATCATTAATGGAGATCAACACAAGCTTTGATACACGTAGGAGCTGGAATAGCTAGTTTGACTGTGTGGAAAACCTCATATCACTCTGGTCTTGGAGAAATGAAGCAACAATAATAACTGACCCTCGTGACCCATCATGGTTCATATCAAATGGAGGAATCGAAATAAAACATAACTAGAAGAGCATCTTTTCAGATTTTCAAAATAAACAATTCTTGTTTACTGAATTGCTCCTTACGCATCCCACATCCAGCTGGAAGTGCTGGTCTCAGAAGAGATGAAGCAGGATGCTGGCTTGTGCAAATCATATCTGAGGTGGGTAGAAATCTATGAGCACGGGTACGGATACGGGTATGTCGATACGGTAAAATTCAAAAAAGTAGAGTACAAATACGTCTAGGTACGTTTGTAAGAAAATATTTATTTTTAATTTGGAGTAATGTAAAAATTGATTAAATAGTTCAATTTATTAAGATCCAACCTACAATTAACATTTAATGCCAAAAATAAATGTATAAACTAAAATTAAATATCATTATATTAAATAATTTACAAACTATAGCTCAATTTTAAAATCATATTAAGTATAAAACTAAAAATAAAAAAGAAGTCTAGTGAAATAAATTTTATCTTTGTAGTAAAAGAAAATATTATTTCGACTGAAGTACGATACAAGTTGGGTATATACTAGGTACGTCTGAATATGCCAAAAATTAAGAAAAACAAACTGGGTATGTGTTTCGTGCTGTGTTACATGGACTCGGCACTTTGGGGTGAAGGGCCCGTGTCGACATGACATGACACGGGTTCGGGTGTGGGATCTGTGTCCGATTTGCTTATTCTCTCTCGGACATAGCTCTTTGCAGACAACAAAAGAAATGAATGAGGAGAGAGCAAGAGAGAAACTGGTAGCCTGTCGAAACGACGAAGACATCGGTCACCGACTTCGATCGTTTTGGTCGCTGCTTTGACAGCTTCAACTTTTGCTCGATGCTCAATGCTCGATCTCCTTCTTTGTCTTCTCTCTCGTCTCTCGATCTCTTTCTCTGTCTTCTCTCTCGTTTCTCGATCTCTCAATCTCACTTCTTCTCCTCTCGTCTCTCGATCTCGATCTCCCTCTCCTCTCTCTTCTTTTGTCTATCTGTCTGACTTCTCTCTCCTTCTCTGACTTCTCCCTACTCTTTATATTATATAATATATAATAAATATTATATACACTTATATTAGTATATAATATAAATTACATTAATGTAATAATATATAATATTATTCATATCATATAATATTATTCATCAATTATTCATATTACATTTACATTAACATATAGTATAAATTACATTAATATAATAATATATAATATTATTAACATTATATAATATTATTCATCCAAAATAAATTATATAATATAATATATTATAAATAATATAATTTTTATGTCTAAAATAAAAATAACTTCTTTTATTATATATAATATAATTTATTTTATATCTAAAATAATTTTTATTTGTTATTTATATAATAAAACTCATCTTCATAAAATAAATATAGTTTTTTTCATATAATAAATATATATTTTTTAAAAAAAAATATTTAATGTATCCCCATACCTGTATCTAAATTTGAATACATATCCACGTATTCTCAATTTTTAATTTTGAAGTGTCCGACTCCTAGATACGCACCTGCACCCGAGTCCGTATATCATAGGTTTCGTGTACCCCGTACATATGTAGAAGTACCATACAATGATAAATACCCGGTACGGATACGGCATGCTTTTCGAAGTGCCAATGCTTCATAGGTAGAAATACTGATACAGTTACTGAGTTATAGGGCATTGAAGCCTTGTAGTTGGCCCAAGGTTATAAAATCGGTCGTAGTTACTGCCATCCGTTATAACCAATATAACAGTGTGACAAAAATTTACAGTCATGGCTGCAACCGTTACATAAAGGCCATAATGACTGTTATAAAAGACTACTTTTTTCTCTATTTTTTTGACTAAAATCACAAAAAATGAAAATCTAAAGTTCTACCAAATTAAATCTCTCTCTCTCCCCCCTCTCTCTCTCTCTCTCTCTCTCTCTCATTACTTTCTCATTTGTTTCCATTATTGTTAACTTATATCTATTTGGTTTTAGGTTAATTTGTTAAACAAAGTGTGGATATCATGTTATGTCATTTTACATTAGTATGTTGGCAATTTTTATTACGAACTTATGTTGATAAGACTACCATTTTTAATATTAAACATACTTCATTATTTTTTTTCCCATAACAAGTGAAAAGGTATCCATAAGTACAATCAGCCAAGTAAACTAAATACATCCAACAAAAGAAAAAATCTCCATAGGGACTTAAAACTGTAAATTACTAAATCTATTAAATCATGTTTAAAAAACAAAACAAAATCCATCAAAAACCATTTGAACCCCAATAAATGTAATTCTAAAATATTAACATGCATATCGGTAAGTTTTCATAGGATTTGGTGAAGTAAAAAATTCAGGCTCTGGTTAGAGCCATCATTTTGCTAAGACTCTTGGTAGCGCATTGTTGAAGAAATCCCTTTTACCTTAAAGTAGTGATGAAGTTGAGATAAGAACTTGTTGTTTCCCATTCTTCTAGTTCGTGCTACTTTGCACAACTCAGAGTATTTTGGATGTAACTTTCACCACCAAAATCCGATTAAGCTTACTCAAAAGGCTTTGGAAAGCCGAATTGAAGGCTACAGTTTTGTATCTCACCAAAAATTTCTAATTCCAATGTTTACTAGGTCAAAACGGGCTATCAATAGGAGCTAAAAAATATGAGAATTTCTAGTGCAGATTTCCTTCTCAAATTAGGATTCTATTGGAGGGAGCTGTTGCTGTGGGGTTTTAAGCAGATAACATAGAAATGTGGACCAAAAAAAAAAGGCAGGATGGGCGTGAGAAAAATCAACAAGAAAAGCCAAGAAACAGAAGGATTTTTCTGGAAGGAACTTGTAAGCTTTTATTTTTTATGGAATCTAGTTGTCTCATGAACATGTATTCATGAGAGGCCAGAATCCTTAACCAAGGTTGAGGATAGAGCCCCATGGGTTTTACAAAGCAGTTTTATGGTTCTCATTTTTCAAGACATAATGTTTCTATAGTTTCATTGTTCTTGCCTCTAAATTAATATGGCTGAAACTTGGACACGAATCTAATCTCGATTTTTTCATGGTTTAAGATCATTTTATTAATCACATTACTAGGTTTATGAACTCTGAATTTTAGAACTGAATATCTTTTGTAATTTGGCATGAACATATATATACATGAGAAGGCAAAAACATCAACTACATCCAAAAGACTATTCTCACCAACAAAATTCAAGCATAGATAGCTAGGTTTGTCTAATCCATGAGTAAAACCTCACAAGTCCAACCAAAAACATTATTACATGCACAATAAACATTTCTCAATTGTAACCATATTGATTCTCAAAGTCTCAAAACATGACAAGTGAGCCCAAATATCAGATCTCCATCAAAAAGCATAGAATCAAACAAATACAGCCACCTTATCACACAAACCCACAAATCTCCTCTTGTGATTTATATCAATTACACATAGTAAAAAAACATTAAAATGAAACGCTTAACCATCAATTCTCAATCAATCAAGTGAATATATCAAAAACCCATCAAGATCTAGAAAAAAAATCACAAACCCAAATGAAATTTGACAGAAAAAACCTCACAAAATCAAATTGAAGAAAAAAGAGGGCAGCGATGAGTGAATTGAAGAGACCTTGCAAGGCCTGTTCTTGATGACTATGTAGCCATTTTTGCGGATTGTTCCAGCCTGCTGTGGGTAGGTCTTGGAGGCCCCTGCGTCGGCCTTCGACTCGAAGTGATGCTCCTCGTCTGACATATTTCTCTCTCTCTCTCTCTCTCTCTCTCAAAACTCAAATTTTCTGTGTATCTCGGGTAGATAGATGAATACTTGGAGGAATCCTTATGCTGCTTTGTAGGAAATAATTCTGGCCGTTGGATCAATAATTTTCATCCTGATCAGAGGCTGTCGACGGAAATTTTACAGTGAGATAGCGTGCCCCACTGGTTGAAATTAAAAAAAAATAAAATAAAATAAAACAAGTTTTTTTTTATTCAATCATTCAGCCCCCCTCAAAAAAAAAAAAAAAAATAAATAAAACAGGTTTTTTTTTGTCCAATCATCCCGCACCGCCTCACTGGGGGTCGACCCCAGTTGGATCCGAAGCATTTTTGAAAATTTTATTTCCACTCACTACTAATTTCCGTACACACTTAAATAAGATTTTATTTTAATGATATTTATACCTTAAAATAAAATAATTATAATGAATATCAAAATATAACTTTAATATTATATTTTAATTTTCTTGATGCACAAAATAAAAAAATCCCAATACCCCTCTTTTTAGTAAAAAAATCTTAATTTTATTCATTTTTTTTTAAATGAAGAAGTAAAAAAATAGACAGAAATAATATTTTGTTTGTAAATCAGAATTTTGTACAATACGAGTTATGTGAAAATTATTGTTTCTTTGTTTACAGTGAACACGATAACATTAGATTAGGGATACACAGAAATAATATACACGATTTATATACTGACGAAGAACCCTCCTTCTCCTCTAATAACAGGATCTGGAATAGCGGCACATCTGTCCAATCTCTCTCTACCTCGAAGGACCCTCAAGAACAGGCAAAATCACCTAAAGTCTCGGACGACACAATTACTTCTCCAGCAGAATAAGTTTCAAGGACTGCGATCAAGATGTCGTTTACAATGTCATAAACGACATCAAATACTTGACAGTCCCTATTGAATTAATGAAGAATTTAGTAGGTTGCCAGAAAGACTTCCATGTAATGTTAAAACAATAAAAACAAAAACCTAATTTCATAAACAATATATATATATATATATAACCTAATCCACTTTTAGAATACAGAAAAGAAAACAATATTTCGCAATTGCATTACGTACAATTAATCAAATTGGGGTTCGAAAGATATGGAATTCTGGGGCAGAGCTAGAACAATGATAGAATTGAAAATAATTTTGGGGAGTTTGCAAAGAGGCCATGGATGGGAGTAAGAGAGAGTGAAGAGAGTAAAGGGGCAAATTGTGTAAATAAATGGGGAAGATAAGGGAGTTTTATGAATAGTGGTTTGGGTTTACAATTTTCAATGAGCGTATGGAAGAAGGGTTGAGATGGTGTGTGTACAATGGTATAAGTGAAGAATATAATTGAAACATTTAGTGTGTAGATTAAGAAGAATAATTAATAATCAAATTAATAAGTATGTGTATTAAGAAATGATGTGTACTAAGCTAAATAGGTGCGTGGAAATAGAATTTCTCGTCCACTTAGTTAAAAATAAATCTTAAAAAAAAATTAATGTCAAAAAAAGTTAATTTGTTTAGTAAATTCTAATTTTTATATAGTTTTTCTAATGAATTTTTAAAGTGATATTTTTTATAAAAATTGGGTTTACCAAATGAGTTTAGGATTTTTTTTTAGAGTAGAATATACTTTTTTTTAAAGCTAATAATCTGAATTTTGTGTCACAATCAAATAAAACTTTAAATACAAAATCTACGTTGTGTTTGGTTTAATTTTGAAATTAATTTTAAGTTAAAATTTTGTTTAGTTATGAATTTTTAAAAAATTACGTTTAAAATTTGTTTGGTTAATAATTTTTAAAACTAATTTTTGATTTTTTTTTTGTCTTGCATATTTTGTCTTGTAGTCAAAACATTTTTATAATATTATAGTCAAATTTGTTTTACTTTTTTCATATATTTAATCTAAATTTATTTTTTAGATGCATCTAATCTAATTTAGAGGGTAAAATTCCACTATATATTTTTTTTATGTTTTATGAATGTTTTAAAAAATTTAACACTTCTTTTCTGGGTTTATATCTACTCAATCTCCATACATTTAAAACGTTTCACATTTAAATGTAACTTTTTATAAAATTATTGAATAATGAAAAATATACAAATAATAATAATAATAATAATAATTGGCCCATTATAAAAATTAATACAATTTTAATGTTTTATGTCTTTATTAAATTTATTTTTGCGTTCTTCACATTTTCTTTACTATTTAAGTCTATGTAAATCATATACATTTAAAACATAAAAATTTAATGGAGAACTTACCCATAGGTCTCAAACACAAAATTCAAAACTTATCTAATCTCAAAACAAAACATTTGCACCAATTAGTTCTACATATTTTTAATTGTTACCAATTTTTTTTTTTAAAAAAAAATTAAAGACGCTGCTACATCCCGACGCTGCTACATCCCACCACTGCAGAACTTCCATTAGACAGTCATCGGAGACTCGCCGAATGTTCAACATCACCGGGAAGTTATTAGAGTATCGCTGGAATATCGCCGGAGTGTTCTGAACGTCACTGGAAGGCGTCGAAATGTCTAAAATGTTTGTTGGACGTCAAGAATATCGTCGGAGACTCATCGGGATGTCTAGAATATTGCCAAAAAGAAATTGAGAAATTAGAGCAAAAAAACATAGCAAAATGTGCTAAATATTGATAAACTGAAAAGGGAAAAAAAAAAAAACATAGCAACAACAAATAATTACAATGGGAAAAAAACATATGTTGTTTTCAATTTTTGTAGGGTTTAAGCAAATAATCTCTAATATTGATCAAACTGAAAAACAAGTTTTGAAACTGTAAAATACATAGTTATATTAAGCATTTATCCCTTCAAACTGAAAAACATATTATGAAACAGTAAAATCTTACAGTTCTAAAGAATGATTTATTTTAGCACCAAAAAAATTAAAACTGTAAAATTTTACAATTTTCACCACCGGTAACTAAAACTTAAAAATAACTTGTTCAAAACTTAAAAAATTTCTCCATTAAAATAGGAAAATAGAAGTGTGTAGTACAGAAAATGTAAAATAAATAAATTAAGAGATCGAAGGAAAGAGACATATATAAAAAAGAGAGGTTTGGACTCCGACAACTATTTTTGGTTTAAATCTAGTTGGGTCTGACGTAGATCTACTCAGATTTGATATAAATATGAGTAGATCTACTCATCTTCTTTGTTGGAAAACTCATCTCATTTGCTGTTGGTGCTCGGGAAGCAAAGAGTCGGTGTTCGGTGGTTGTTAGTGAATCCTAATAAATGGTGGTCGCTGGTCACTGGTCACCCGTGATTATAAATCAGAAAGAGAAAGAAAAAAAGAAAAGCATTGTCATGGTCATCACCGGATATCAAAGAAAGAGAGATAAAGGGAAGAAGCAAGGTGAAGAGAAAAAGGAAAAGAAAAATAGGCACAGGACTTTTGGGATTAAATAAAGAGCAAACTTTACTTTACCTCACTGTGATTTGGGTTACGTGCGGTTTACCCCCTTGACGTTTGGAAATCACCATATAACCCTCCCTGTGGTTACTGGATTGAATTGTACAGTAAACATCATTAACATCAGAAGTGAAAAGACTATTTTGCCCTTATATATAACATTTGTTTAGCATTTCTCATTCAATATGAAATTAGGGTTTTGATTTAACAAATTAAACAACATAATTTCTATCAAAAAATAATTTAATTAATGTTCAATTTGCCTTCAAGTTTAAAGTTCAAACCAATTATTCACTTTTTTTCTTGGTTGGAATTTAGTGAGCACTACACAATAAAATTGTGAAGATTGTTTCTATTAAAATATATATATATATATATGCAGTGGTGTAATTTGAAACAAACCAATTAATTAATCAATTAATCAAACAAACAAACCAATTAATTAATCAATTAATCAATCAAACAAACCAATTAAATCAACACACAAATATTACATAAAAATCTGTGAACATTGAGATCGATTCAGATAAGAATTCATTGATGAATCGATTCAAATTCGGATACTATAATTTGAAATTACAGAAAGAAGGAATGATTGAGTGAAAACTACTCTCAGCTCATATACGAAGGAAAGAGAGAGAATGAAGGAGAGAGATAAAGAAATTTTTTTGTGTTTTGAAAAATGAAGAAGACAGGTTGCTTTGTTTGCAGTGTGTACTACGACTACAGCGGCACTGCCCGCTACTCCAAGCGCTAGACTCTCTGAGCTACGACCCAAACGTGGTGCCGGACTTGGTGAAGTCATTTGTGGTGCACCTGTACAAGCACATCAGAGAGAAGAATGTGTGGAGTTGTAGTTTTTTTTTTTTTTTTTACTTTTTTTTTTTTCCTTCCTATTTTTGAGGTTGAAAAGAATAAAGAAGATCTCTACCATCTCATCATCCATGATGGAGATCTGAAAAAGGAGATCAAAGTACCAGAAGGGTTCGATTACAAGCTCTATAATCGGAATGACATTAATTGGATCTCGGGGCCAAAGGCCAGTTGTATCTCATAGATGCTTCGGATTCATGATCTCTAAGAAGAAGTATATCTTTACCAAATCTGGTTTGGTGTTTCGTTTGGTTTGCTAATATATTGATTTTATTTTCCTTGATCTGTGTTGTGATTTCACGGATGTATGTACCTATAAAATATAATTATATGAAAATCAAGTTAAAAAAATTATGTATTTTCTTTTCTGTTTTTTATAGATCTAATAGTCCTTTCACATCCTCCTCTTTTTTCTTTTTTTTTTCTTCTTCTTCTTCTTCTTTTTTCCCCTTGGATAGAGGTTTACAGATCTGGATATTGATGATGAAGATGAGGGTAGGTTTTGGAAATTGATGATGAAGATGAGGGCATTTTAGTCATTTAATTCGAAGGGAAAATCATCTTTCCATACCCATTTGCATATTAAACGCGTGTCATGTACGGACTGTTATGTTTAAATGGAAATGCAAACTATGCAATTCAATCTAGTAACCACAGGAGCGTTATGTGGTGATTTCCAAACGTTAGAGGGGTAAATTGCACGCGGTCCAAATCAAAAGGGGT